TCCTTCACACAATACATTTTATAGCTACATAAAAACCTTTGGTATCTTCTTGAAAATATGAAGTCTAAGATGATTTTTTTTCTGCTAAGTCTACTCTTATCCCGACAGTCCATTCTTCACAGACAGCCAAAGTGATCCCTTAAAAATCGAATTTAGATCATATCACTGCCCTGATTATAATCTTTCTATCGCTTCCCTTGTAATAAAATACATCAACAAGGGTTGCAGGATGGAGGTCCTAGCCCCTTCAGCTCCATCTCTTATCCCTTTTCCCCTGCTCATTATGCTCTAGCCACTTGTGCCTTTTTGCTGTTCTAACACACTAAACTCTTTTCTACTTTAGGATGTCTGTACTGCTTTTCCTTTCTTTAGAATGCTCTTTTCCTGCTTATTTGCATGTAGGGTCCTCTTAGCACTCATTAAATCTTTAGAGAGGCTTTCTCTGACAATCCCTTCTGTATTCTTCTGTATTCTGTAGGCTCCCTGGTCATATCTATTTCCTTCATTACACTTATATGTTTTGATTGTCTGCAATCCTCACTTCTTTGAAATGTAAGCTCCTGGGCTGGGTGCAGTGGCTAATGCCTGTAATCCCAGCACTTTGGGAGTCCAAGGCAGGTGGATCATTTGAAGTCAGGAGTTCGTGACTTAGCCTGGCCAATGTGGTGAAACCGCATTTCTACTAAAAGCACAAAAATTAGCCAGGGGTGGTGGGGTATGCCTGTAATCTCAGCTTACTCAGGAGACTGAGGTGGGAGAATCGCTTAAACCCAGGAGGCGGAGGTTGCAGTGAGCTGAGATCACACCATGCACTTCAGCCTGGGCGACAGAGTGAAACTCCATCAAAAAAAAAAAAAAAAAAAGAAAGAAAGAAAGAAAAAGAAATATAAGCTCCTGGAGGACAGGGATTTATTACTGGATCCTCAGTATTTAGTACACTTGAGTATCTGTTGATTAACAGAATGAACAAGAGCTCAAACCCAGATATAGATTTTACCCAGAGCATGCAGGAGAAAAGGAAAATTATAATCCTTATGATAAGGATCCTGTTCTTATCTTCCATTCATTTCCAATGTTGTTTTCACACTGAGAGATTCAATGTACACGTTGATAACTCATTTAACAATCTAGCCTTGAACTTCATGGATAGTCTCCCCCAGATGTGAAATTTTTCACTTTTGGTCTACTTCAACCATCTGCTTCTACTTTTTATATCTTAGGTTCCAATAGTCCACCTGTGATCGTAAACTTCTTGCCTTCCAGTTTTCTTACTTTGATTTCACCTGGAAACTCAAGGCATGGGGAGTCTCACTGGGAGCTGAGTCAGGGTTCGGGAAAACCAAGGCATCAAATTAAGAGGCAGCGCATCTGCACCTGTCAGAGGGCAGAGATAAAAAGGCGTGGGTGGTCAGGGGGTCCAAGAGCAACACTGGGATACCAAACCCGGGCCAAATCAGTAATTTTAACCCAAGTGGATACAGATATAGGGGCAGAGAAGACAGAGAAACAAAACCAAGGGCATATGGTCAGGCAGACACAAACTAGAAGACTCACATAAGGGCTAGAGATAATTATTAGTGATTTTCATTGCTCCTCCAAGCCATTTACAAACTATGAAAATGGGTGGAGGGAAAAGAGAAGGGATGGAATTGGAGATCTTGGAAACTCAGAGCCACCTCTTACCAATTATGATGACCTGGCTCCTGACTTTTACCATCTTGCCAGATCTGCCTCTTGTCTGTGATGTCCTTCAATCCAATTCCAATAGGAAGCTTTCAGTCTTCATCTTCCCAGGCCTCTTGTTTCCATTTGACTTTGCTGACGGCCCCTGCCTTCTCAAAATGCCATGCTCTCTAGGCTTCCCTGCCACCACATCCTCTAGTTCTCTCTGACCACTTTGACTGCTGCTTCTCTGTCTCTGTCAAGGACTACGGACTCTCTTTCACCTTCCAGTGGTGTTCCTCAAGGTCTGCTTGTGCCTTCTTGTTCCTTAATTTTACAGATTCTCAACAGTGATATCTTTCACTGCCATGTCTTCTACTAACACCAAAATTCCGGTGACTATTAAAACCAAATCCACATCTCTTGCACGGTTCTTTTATGCTCAAGGTTCACAAATGTGTGATCACTCTCCCTGGATTTTTCCCAGGCATCTCAAGCTCAACATGTCCCAAAGAGAATTCCTAGTCTTCCCCGCACAAGCATTTGTTTCCAGTACTATGTCAGTACTGCTTATTTCAGCTGGGAGTTTTAGCATCCACTCAGTCACCCAAGTAAAAAATCTAGAATTCAAACTTGACTGGTTCCTTTCCCTCACTACCCATATCTGTCATTTAATTCACTCGTTCAACAAACTTTCATCAAGCCCTGTGATTTACCAGGTATTGTTCTAATTGTGGGCTAAATTGTGGTAAGTAAAACGGATGTAATTTCTATCTTTATTAAGAATATAAACTACTGGCTGACTTTGTCTCTAAAGTGATTTTTTCCCCATCTCTCCTTTTTTTTTTTTACTAGCAGTAGTTGGCATGTGATAGATGCTCAATTAATCCTTATTGAATGAATGAATACATGAAGATGTAACTATCTGAACATCTGCTGTCTGCATAGCACAGAATATGACACAGCAATCTGATGCCATTAAAAATATTTCTAAGCACACATTATGAATCAATAGAAGCCAAAACATCTGGCCAATTTAGCTGGAATACCCCCAATGAAGCATTAGTATACTTTATCTGTGTTATGCAAACACTCAGATGTTTGGGGCTTCCGTGGAATTGACTGGGTGTTTTGGCACAGCATAGGCTCAGCCAGACCAGTCTTGATCTCTTCCAGGGACAAATTATGTCTCTGAATTGCACATATGGCTCACTCACTTCTAGAGTTAAGCATAAGTACAAACACTGAATACTTGTGACTGTTTTAATTGGCTCAGTAATTTCCAAAATATTATTAGTGGCACATGGTTATTCATGAATATCAGCACACATTCAGTGGCTCTTCAGTCTGAAGACATCAAAATGAATTCAGATTGTTTATGCTGAGGACGGCGCAGATGGGTTACATCCAGGCAAAACTTGGGCATCATAAAAATGTATGGTTAAACAAGAATATCAATCTCTAGATAATAATGACATCTTTTATAATAAGTATTTGGTGACATCAGGAAATATCTTTAGGAAATCAGCAAATAAATATTTCAAGCATTCCTATGTAATTTAACCAGATCAATCAACTATGGAATAAAACCAAGCACCTCCACCTCTCTTCTTGGCTCTCAAGTTCAGGGACCATTGAGATTAGAACACTAAGGAATTATCTCAATTCCCACAATCAGCTATGGAGAGAGGTTTTTGAACAGTAAAAAAAAAGATGAAACAAAAACTAAAACTGAGACAGAGAACTATACAGAATTACTAAGGTATTCAGGGTGAGGCATGCATTTCTTTCTCTTTAAATAATCAGCATTCAGACCGGAGCTAACAGTAGGCAAAAGCAGCAGAGAGGGCACTGTCAGCTGGTCATGCACCCACTCTAGGAAATATATAACACCATTATTTTATGAAATAACAAACTGTACCATGCACACCAACTCAGAGATGGAAAGAACCTAGGCATTGTAATCAGTTATGACTTGTGTAGGCATAATAATTTTGGGGGCAAATTAAACACTCACGAAAGAGCAGTCTAAGACCTAAGGGTCAACTCTCGCAAGGGTATGCAGGCTAGGTTCAACCTGCAGCTTTTCCGAGTGGAATCTGGCCCATGCGTATTCTCATAGTTCCTCCCTCACAGATCCAGAAAGAAACCAAAGACAGCCTAGCCTCAGAGTGCGCCATCAAACTTTCAAATGCAGAAGAGGGGAGACTTTCAGTGTTTTAACCTTTTCTATCTTAAAATCTTTCAGGCAGACTTATTTTTCTTATCTGCAAGTTAATGAGAAATGTTCAAGTCCTTGGAATTTAAAAATTAACCCCCATATGTCTTCATAAAGCTCCAGACACTACTGGCTGGGTACTTCACAGAACTCTCAGCTTCTGCTTGGTTGAGGGTCCTATCAGAAACTGTCAGATAACTGTTAGATGAGTGTTATATATTGGCTATTTTTATTCCTTTCTCTAAAAATGTATGGTACCGTCACACCATTGAACTTAGGTGAATTCAACTAAATATGCTGTATCTAAAGAAGTTAAAGAGAAAATCCACATTAGAGCAGGTAATTTTGCCCGACTCTGAGCAAGCATTCTGAGAGAACAGAATCTCTGTGTCCACCTTGGTTCTTGACCTGGCTCAACCTCAGTTATCTAGTGCCTCTTGGAGTCTGAGCATCCCCTTGGGTTTAATGTGACTTCAACGTTTGACTAAATAATATAAAAAGAATTTTGGTTATTGATGATCTACTCCTTATGTACTGACTCTGTAGCCCCATCCTTCATATAAGATGCAAATCCATGCTATATAAAAATAGAATGTGGGTGGCTTTGAAATTACATGCTCCTCCTGAACTCCCTAATTCTGGGCATCAGTTGGTGTTGTTTTCCTATTTCCAAATCAGCAGTGCTCTCCTGATTTTGAGTCTCAGAGAATGACGCAGAACTGATGATGGCCAGCTACTGAAAAAGGGGCATTCGCATGTACTTGACCCTCCCCTTTAGTTTAATAACAGAGGGTTTATCTTTTCCAACATGAGTGTGGTTTTTTTTTTTTTTGGTAAAATTACAATTCATCTTCTCATAACATTTATTTTTAGCTAGGTTACAAAAAAAAAAAAAAAAAGAGAGGGTGTTAGGAACCTCTGGCATTTCTGGCATTTCCTGGAATTGCAAACGGAGGTTAATTTTGTCCTGAGGAGCTGCAGAGATAGTTTGATCATTTGCAATTACGGTGCTCACTGAAGAAAAGGTTAAAGATGAATCAGTTTTCTCTGAGGCGTCTGGATTGGAGATGCACACAAGCATGCATTCATAGCCAAGCAGAAGGAGAAAGAGAGGACTTACATTCTGTTTCCCCACGATATTATCGAAGGGCAGTTCAGGGCTCCAGGATCCTTCAGTGAACGTGGCCCCACTGTTTCTCCGGTCTGAGGAGCTCACTGACTCTTTGACAATATCTTCAGGCAAGGACAGCAGACTGTCCTCAGGCTGCTTAATTAAGTAAGTCTCTATATTATGCTTCCTCAGGAATTCATTCCTCTCTTTACCATGACCCTCTTCCACGTTATAGTCACCGTTGAGACAGTCCAGCGTGGCTTTGGAAATGTGAATCCTCCTGTGTGTAGAAGGCATAGGTCATTACACACTCCTGATGTTGCCTGCAAAGGCTATTTATTTTTTTGTCTAGTACAAAGCCAACATCAGGGCTCCACATGGGTACTATTAAGACATGTCCCCAAGGACAGTACTTGTCTTCCTAAAAAGTAGAAAGAATATAAGAAAATAGAAGCATAAATTCATGAGTGCAGTATCACTGCACTCTACCTCTACCAAGACACACTGCTACCTCTGATCAAATACAGTCCTTTTGTGCTACACCTAGCACATCTTTTGGCTTTTCTTATGATTGTCAGCCTGATCTCAGCAAAATTTACAAGTCAGTGTTTTTTTTCCATTGGTGTTGATTAGAAAAACAAGTGCTGCAAATATTTCCGAACCCTAATGGCAATTATTGTCCAAATCACCATGCAAAAACAGTTCTTTCGTTGTCTTGGAAAATTTTCTATCATTTCAATCTTCGTGTATTTGTATCTTGTTTCTCCAACTTGTCTATATGCTTCTCAAGGGCAGTTTGGACAAGTCCATAGGGCTACAGTGAGTGTCCTTTGGGAAAACCACTGGAGGGTGTAATTTTCCCTATAACGTGTATATTATAAGGAGCAAAGAACAAAGCTGTGGACATGTATAGGCTGGCAGCTGGCTGGGCTCACTCACAAGTGAAGTGACTCATGGCTGCACAATTGTCAGCCACTATAGCTCATGACTCAGGCTTCTTTTTTAGCAAAATAGCATATGATATCAGGACCTTAAGGATCACACTTGATTCATGGAAATTTCACATGGTAAATTCTTCTGGGGAAGAATTTCTCTGTCCTCATAACTATCTAATTCAATCAGACTACTTATTGTGTTATAATGTGGTCTGGGTAGACTAGCAAGGTAAGGTGGTTATGAACACAGACTTGGCTGCTAGATCTCCTGGATTCAGACCCTAGCTATGCCACTTGCCAGCTGAGAGATCTTGGGCAAATTACTTAGCCTTTCTATCAGTCTATCTTCTTCCCATAATATGGGAGAAATAATAGCACCTATCTCTTATGATCATTATGGTTACTGTATAAGTTGATTTGTGTAAGGTAGTCAAAACAGTGCATGGTACAGTATATACAGTACAAAAGCAAATACATAAGTTGTTAAGCGTGTTCTAAAAAATGCCATTGTAATCATATTACTGTTGGGTATTCCATGCCTCCTCAAGGCTTATGGAAGATAATTGTCAGGCCTTCTGAATAAGGCCTCTAAGCTTTCATTCTCTGGCTCTGTCACTTCAAAGCTCATTTTCTGACACTCTTCTAATATAGCTTCTTTATGCTCTCTCCAGCTATTCAAGTAATTGGCAATTCTCCCAATTCAATGTGCTATTTGATGCTTGCTAACAATTTCCTACTGTCCAATTCAGCTCAGAAGTCATTTTCCTAAATTTACCTTAGTATTCCTTTGTATGAAAGAATGCTTAATATTTTGCTTAGCTTTTGTAATGCTAAGAACAATACATCCAAGTAAACAGAGAAGTTTTTAAAAAAAATTTAGAGTGGGCTTTTAAAACTCATTGTAGTGGCTCACGCTGAGGAAGCTGAGATGGGTAGATCACTGGACCTCTGGAGTTTGGACCAGCCTGGGCAACATGACAAAACCCTGTCTCTACAAAAAAAGTACAAAATTTAACTGGGCATGGTGGTGTGCACTTGCAGTACCAGCTATTTGGGAGGCTGAGGTGGGGGGATTGCTTAAGCCCAGGAGGTTGAGGCTACAGTGAGCCAGAGATCATGCCACTACACTCTAGCCTGGATGACAAAGTGAGACCCTGTCTTAGAAAAAATAAATACGTTCATTCATTCAATAATATGCAGTTTACTTTTAGTATTAGCTCTGCTACTCCCTCTCATTCTTCTAACGCATTCTGCTAAATCCCTCCTCATACAAAGAATAGTTCATTGCAAATAACATGTGAAAAAACAGAAACTACAAAGAAATCATTTCTGATAATTTAAGGCATGTTCTCCACATCTTCTAAATAAATATCTTGATTGATATGTTAAAAATAAGTATGTGAAAGATGTTTGCACTCTCTTGAGAGATGTCCTGAATAAGTACAAAATATTCCCAAGATGTATTTTGTTCATATATATGAACTCAATAATATTTCCCTGGGAGAGTAACAGATGGTTTGACCTTCCATGAACGGGAAGTCCCCATCTGCTTTCTCAGATCAAGCTCAGAGTTAAGACTGGAAGCTTACCTTTTCTTCTAGGCAAAATGAGTCTGGTAGGAGGGTTTTTTTTTTTTTTTGAGATGGAGTTTTGCTTGTTACCCAGGCTGGAGTACAAGGGTGCAATCTTGGCTCACTGTAACCTCCGCCTCCTGGGTTCAGGCAATTCTCCTGCCTCAGCCTCCTGAGTAGCTGGGATTACAGGCACATGCCACCGTGCCCAGCTAATTTTTTTTTTTTTTGTATTTTTAGTAGAGACGGGGTTTCACCATGTTAACCAGGATGGTCTCGATCTCTTGACCTCGTGATCCACCCGCCTTGGCCTCCCAAAGTGTTGGGATTACAGGTGTGAGCCACTGCGCCTGGCCGGTAGGAGGGTTTTATAAAGTACAATGGTTGATTTTTTTTTAAGATAATTAAGTTAAATATCAACCCCATTTAGCATTTTCTCTGGATTCTACATTTATTATTATTCTACATTAGTATTCTGCTGTCAGTATGCAGGGGGACTAATATTTCCATGTATTAAATCAATGTTATGTTTCTCCTAGTGAAAGAGATTGTTGTCTTCACTGATTCTTCTGCTGAAGTTCTCATTCATATACACTTAAATGTTTTGATAGAAACTGGGTTTTAGATGTTTATTTTCATCCTTGCTACTAACTTCAGCTTTGCGGTAAGGCATTTGCAGATGAAGTTCTGTAGATTGCATTTATTTCTAAGGAGATGTGTCAGTTTTCAGGCAATATTCTCATGTATTGAGTGTCAAGTAAACTTGACATTTTCTGATAATTTTTAATGCTAGTATATAATAAGAGTAGTCATGATAGTAAATAAGATCTAACAATTGTGTAACTCTTGCTTTGTATAAATGTTATCTAGTGGCCAAACGTAGTATTTATGCTCCATGGATTATCTCATGTAATTTCTGTTCTTCCAACAACCTTAGGTGATGGACATTTCTTTGTCTCACTTTGGAGATGCTGAAACTGGCCTAGAAGTCATAAGTATCTATTTGGCCCCGATCATATTAGTGGTTAGTGGCAATGCTGGATTGAGACAAGAACTTTTACTTTCAGGGTCTCTCTACCACCCTGCAACTGTATAATATGGTAACCACTACTACCTCAACCACAGTTAATATTTACTGAGTACAGGGCAAAGGACTTTATACGCATTATCGCGTTTAACACAAGCTCAGAAATGGTGATCTTCATGGTGTGGTACTGAGGCCAGCAGTTCCCACCAGGAAATGGTTAGAAAGGATCATCTTGAGTTCTATGCCAGATACATTGGACAAGAAACTCTGCGGGTGGGGCCCAGCAATCTATGGTTTAATAAGCCCTCAGGTGATTCCAGTGCTGAGGTTTGAGAACCATTGTTCTAGAAACCCAAGGTTCAGAGGTGGTGAAGAAGAAAACAATAAAAAAGCGGAAAAATATAAGTCAAAACAAGACCAGACCGTGGTGGGTTTGGAGACCTGTTTTGACATTCCTGCAGTTTGCACATTGACAACATTCCATGGCTAAGCAGAGCTGGATACTATATAGAAGACTAGACTGAATGCTTTAGCTAGACTCAGTGCATGTTCACATTTGAAACTACATTTTTAAGGCTGATGTTTTCAGTTCAAAATTACAGTGAAGAAACTGGGCAGGGCGTAAAGTACTTGTCACAATCTTCCAACCTTCTTAACTCGTAAGTAGTAAACCCACGGTTCAGACTCATGACTCATGATATTAAGAATAAGAGTGTGAAAGATGATTTAAACTCAGTCACTTTTCTTTTTAAAAATTATTTTATTCATTTCTTTTCAACTTTCATTTTAAAATTAGGCAGGATATGTGCAGGTTTGTTACAAAGTATATTTCATGATTCTGAGGTTTGGGGTTAGATGAAACCCTCACACAGGTAGTGAACATAGTGCCCAATACGTAGTTTCTCGTCCCTTGACCCATTCTCTGCTTTCTCCCTCTAGCAAGCCCCAGTGTCTATTCTTGTCTTTATATTCATATGTACTCAAAGTTTAGCTCCCACTCATAAGTGAGAACATTTGGTTTTCTGTTTCTGCATTTCACTTAAGATAATTTCTTGCAACTGCACCCATGTTACTGCAAAGGACATGATTTCATTCCTTTTTATGGCTTCATAGTATTCCATGGTGATGTGATGATTTAAACTTGGTCACTCTTCTGTTTCTTAATGTTATTTAGAACAATAGCAAACTAACTTCCAGATATCAAAGCAGTATCTTACAAACCTCCAAAGTATATTCTAAGGTTTGCAAAATGAATCTATTGAGTATATGGGCAATTCCCCATTTGGTGATGCTTTTAAGATACAGGCCTGGGAACACAGATGAATTGGCTATCTGGTGTGTCTAAATTCAGCAGGTAGTTACTTGTGGGAAAATCCTAAAGAATGGAAAGATTTAAGAAACCCAGCAGTAACACATCAGGCCTTCCTCAGTTCTAAACCTGTCTGGCAAACAGCCATGCCACAGCACAGAGAATGAAGGATTCCCATAAGAATAGTAACTGACCTGCGGCTTTCCCTGCACAGTGTACAAAGTGCTTCCTACCCATTGCCTGAGATAATCTTCAGAGGAGATTTGTGAGGTAGATTATGCCCATTTAGCAGATGAGAAAACAAACTCTCATGGAGGACAAAAATAAGTTCACAAGGCAGCAAATCATAAGTATTATTATTTCTCTTTCTGCAGTGAAGAAAGTTAGACTTGGAAATTAGACACTGGCCTGAGATCACAAAGATAGAGTGATGCAAGCCGAGTTCACGCTAAAATCACATGCCAGGTGCTGTGCATGCTTTGCATAACTTGCTGAAGATAACAGAGTTTAGCATGGAGCAGAATGGGAATCCTAGTTACTCTGATTCCACCTCTTGTTGTCTTTTTTCCCCATGATAACATACTACTTGATATTAAATATAATTTGCAAAGAATGATGGCATATACCAGAGAAATCTGTGACTCCAAGGGCAGGTCTAGGGGGTAGGGAGAGGAATATATGTAAGTGTAGTATCTCTATCTATTAGTCTATCTATCTATCTATCTATCTATCTATCTATCTATCTATCTATCTATCTATCTATCTATCTATCTATCTATCTATCTATCTATCTATCTATCTATCTATCTATCTATCTATCCATCCATCTGTCTATCCATCTGTCCATCCATCCATCCATCCATCCATCCATCCATCCATCCATCCATCCATCCATCCATCCATCATCCTTAAGAAAGAGATGCTGCAGATTATCATACTGGCTCAAATATATTTGAGATCTTATTAGGTCCAATCTGTGTAAACAGAATCTTGATACAACTTTTCAAGACTGACCTTAGTTGCAGTGGACTTTGCAGACCACTAGCACCTTTGCGGATCCTATGTTACCCAATCTTGACAGCCAAATTTGAAAAGTTGAATTTTTAAGGAAGAGGCTAAATTTCCTCATTGAGTCCTAGGTCATATATGAAAAGTCAGTAGGTATTAATCCTGGATGCCCATTAGAATTAATTTAAGAACTTAAAATAGATTCTGTACAGATTCTTCTTTAAACAAACTGGCATGAGGTCTGGACAATAGCATCTTAAAAATGTTCCTTTGGAGATTCCAATGTGCAGCCAAGTCTAATAACCAATGCTATGCAGGGCAGAGACCTGAACACCTCAGTGTTATTCTATATCCTTGTTGCCTCTGATACATTTTACCGGATTTTGGAAGCTAATAGTTGTATGATATTTCAATATCTGGTCTCCTCCTAAATAATTGCTTCCAAGATTTAACCTTGAATTTCTGCACACAGGAAACCCACTGTCACAAAATGAATAAATGACAAGGGTTAAGCATGAAAAGCGCTGTGCTTTGGCTTACCCAGGGATTCCTCCAGATTCGAGTTTGTTTGCAATGTCCACATCCCAAGACCAGACATCAAATTGCCACTTCCTTAGTCCCAAAACACCACACAGCACCGAGCCTGAGTGGATTCCAATCCTCATGTCAACATCGTGTTTTGTCCTTGACCGCACATACCTGTTGACATAGATAAATGGAGAGACACATGTGTTAGACCACAGTGGGCATCCTTGGCTCTGCCCTTTTAATGTCACCTCTTCCATGAAGCCTTCTTGGGTTCTTTAATAACTGGAAGGATTCTCTGAATACTCTTAGCCTTTTAACTGTACTTTTAAGGGCTCTTTGAAACCTTCATCTAAAACCTGCTGCGTAACCTCTGTCTCAGGGAATGGCACCAGCATCTTTTTCTACCCAACAGTACATTAACTTGTGATAGATTATTGATTTCATACTTCATTACACATTCCATTTTCAACCAAAATGTAATTGTTTCCTTCTTTCTATCCCTTCTATGACTTAATTCAAACAACCCTCATGCCTTTGTCTGAGATCCCTGCCTCAGCCTCACCTCCTTCCAGCTCATACTGTCATGGTTTCCAGTTATTCCTTCTAAACACAAATGTGACCTCATTACCCCATCACTCTTTTCTGACCTACTCTTTAGAACGGTAGTCTCTGAAATAGAGTGTTTATGTCCCAGGGCTGAGCTGGGTTATCCACTGAGATGCAGGAAGAAAATGTTAGAACTTCCATTCACAGCTTTTGTTGCTTATGTTGAAAAGCTTTACCAACATTTGATATATATAGATTGATGTTGGAAATTTACAGGATACATGTCTGGTCATCTTCTGACTGTAAATATGGAGGAGGAATCTTGAGAGAAAAGGAGAATTTCTGCCACTAGATGATCTTCTATAGTCATGAACATTCTTTCAGAGCATTTTGAACAATTTTAGTTTATGATTAAATGATGTCATTTATGCAGAAAATAAAATGGTAGAATATAATACTTTGTAGTAGAATTACTAGAAAAATTTTCATTGCCCACAAAATGCAATGATTATGTCACTTCAAAATGCTTAAAATAGTTGTCAGATTTAAAAGCAAGCCATTATTTGTCTTTGACAAAAAAAGGTGTTCCAAATTTGCTGATTTTTTTTTGTGATATTGAGTTGCCATTAATATTCCTTCTAGCATATATTTGGAAAAACCTACAAACTTGTTTAATTTGTTTCTTCCAACTCAAGACAATAACTTAAGAATGACTAAGAAAGTAACCGAGCTGTACAGAAAGTGATGCTTTGAAGAAAGCATTTTGAGAATGAAAGTTTGAAAATGTTTCCATCTTTATAAGAATTTTGTTGTAAAACCAAAGGTATGTTATATCATCTATCAAAATTCCTAGAGCTTCACATTTACTAATGTTTAAATATCTTCTAAATGAAGATTTCTGGTGAGGTCTGAATATATTTATAAGGGCTTAAACCCATTTATGAGGTTTGAAAACATTTATAAGATACATGTTTAGCTGTGACGGCCACTAAAGCCAAGCATAGAAATTGACTTTGGAAACTGACCTTTACATTACTGTATCACAAGCTATTAAACGTTTTTTTAAAATTATGTTTAAACCCACTGCTAGTAAATGGTGAAAGCAGAAAAGTCTTCTACTGTAATTAATTATATTAAAGTATTTTAAAGTATTTTTATCTTCTCATCCTTTAAAATCCCTTTATTATGTATATTTTATGGTATATATTTTTAAGTACATGAATATAACTAATAGAATAGATAATAAATAAAATTTTATTATACATGCATGTCTTCATATAATTTTTTTGATAAAAATAGGGGATAAAAATATTTAGATACCACTGGTCTATAAGATACAATGGAAAATTCCTAATCTGGCACACAATGTTTCTCATGATCTGTCCTGTACCTTAATTATTCCTCTCGTTTTTCATGCACACATTAGACTCCAGCCATCCAAACAACAAGTCATTGCCTAAACCCTGTGTTCCTTCTTTCCTCTCTGGGACCATGGTGATCCCTTGGTCTGGAATGTCCATTACCTCATTCAATGTAAGAGCTTCTACTCCGTCTTTTAGAGTAAAGCTTGGTGTAACTCTGGCCAGTAAGCCGCCCTGATTTCTAAGTCTGACTTATGTACCTTTCCCTGTGTTCTCATTGCATCTTGGATGAGCAATAATTAGGGTGCTGTATTATAATAATCTGTCTCCTCTAAGCTAATTGAGACTGGGGACTTTGAATGACTAATCTTTATCTTCCCCCTTAAGATTTACTGTATTTGGCACTTGCTTAACACTCGGTAGGTGTCTATTGAGTAGGTAGATGCATGGGTGTCCAATCCTTTCTATTAACGTTCCTATAGATGGAAGCTTTTTGATAGAGTATAAGGCCCTTGAAGGCATTATTCCTGCCTGAGTCAGCCTTATATTTCTCACCACCTGGAACATCCTGCCTTTCATACAGTAGGACTTAAGACATGCAGTGTCCTTTTTTTAAAGAAAGAATAAATGAATGATTCGAAGTACTCAATTGAATCTTTGCAGTCTCTGTTCTTAAGTTGTAAGGTAATGCAAAGCTATTTACACAATAAAGTTGAATTGGATTGAGAATTTGGAAATATTAAAATAACTTAGACATTAGACGGGCAATCTGTGAACATTAGGAGAAATTCTTATAACTAAAGATGAGGTTTTTCTTGATCTTGGTGAAGTTCCTGGTTTCTGGGTCTTTGTTTTGACTTTAACTCTTAAGTTAAAAACTATATGGTACTTTATATCTACTGACAATGAAAACTGTAGGAGCCATTTTAAAAAAATTGACAAGGCAAGAGAAGAAATGGCATCCAGCCTTTGAGAGGAGCACATCAACTTTTGATGCAGTTTCCCAATGAGCTTCTGTGTGGGAGGTTATTAAGAGAGGTCATTTGTGCTATGCACAGTCATGCCCCCTACTATGTTATTCAAGTGCATAGTAGGATTGTCCTCTTGGCATACTTTTTTAAATTTTTTTAATTTTTGTGACTACATAGTATGTGCGTATATTTATGGGGTACATGAGATGTTTTGATACAGGCATGCAATGTGAAATAATCACATCATGGCGAATGGGGTATCCATTCCCTCAAGCATTTGTCCTTTGATTTATAAACAATCCAATTATACTCTTTTAGTTATTTAAAAATGTACAATTAAGTTATTATTGACTATAGTCAGTCTGTTGTGCTATCAAATAATAGGTTTTATTTATTTTTTCTATTTTTTTGTACCCATTAACCATCTTCACCTGCCTCGTAACTCCCCACTACCATTCCCAGCCTCTAGTAGCCATCCTTCTACTGTCTATGTCCATGAGTTTGATTGTTTTGATTTTCAGATTCTGCAAATAAGTGCAAACATGCAATGTTTGCATATTGATATTGTTTTTGACCAATGAAATATGAACAGAAGTAACATGTGTCACTTTTGGGCATAAGCTTTAAGACCATGATCAATCATACTCTTTAAAAAATCTTTCTCTCCTGTATTCACCATCATGAGTCAAGGAGCTCCTGATGAAGCCTTCTTAACCAGGGTCCTTGAATCAGGATGAAATGTAGTGATATCCTCCTATCCACCCGCTTCCTGTAACGGACATAAAGTGTGAATGAAAAATAAATGTTTACTATTTTAAGTTACTGAGATTTTAGGGATGTTTGTTACTATTCTGACTGGCACCATCATGAGTCCCAGTGTATGTTTTCCTTATTACATTGTCATGACTGTAGTGTGAGGGTTAATATCACAGGCTTTAAGTGCCACAGCCAAGTTCTCATCTTGTTCCGTCACACACTGGCAACATCACCTCAGAGAAGTTATTTTAATTCCCTATAGATGCTTTAATCTTTGTATCTATAAAACATTAATAATAATAACATTGTCAAGGTTAAGTGAATGAACATACGGGGAGTTTATAACAGTGCCTGGCCTATAATAAGGACTGGTTGCTTGTCTACTATTTATGAAGGAATTGTAGCCTGCAAAACTATGGCTCAGAGCTGGTAAGTAGAATTTCCCTATGGCCCAGTGCTGGTTAGTAGAATTCCAGGACTAAACGGGCACTTTTGTATTTTTAAAACCCATATTCTTTGCAACATGTGATCCTGGGCACATAGTTTAATCTGACACTGAGTTTCAATGGTTGTAAAATAAGGTACTACCTGATTGCTTCACTCACAGAACTATTGTGAGCCCCAAAGGATATAATAATGGGTGTTAAAGTGCTTTGCCAGCTAATGGTGAGAAATTATTAAACAGCACGCGGTGCTAATGTCGTTAGACAATTAACATTATACGGAGAACGCACTGGAACATCTTAATGAAAAGACATTTAGATTATTTTTATTTTCCTCTACAAAACAAGAAGCGTAACAGGAAGACAACATTTTTTTACTGCATGGCTTTTCTTTCTCTTTCATTTTATGTCTGGGATTTGACTTAAATAAAAGATAAGAATGAAACTATGTAAAAGTAATTAATAATTTACAGACATTGATCCTCATTAGTAAGGCTACCCTGTGGTTGCAAAGAGCCACAAACACACACAATGCATTTCAAGATCAGTTCTTGAGGAGAGGATCTTAGAGCATTCTTGAAGTTTACATGGAGGCAATTCTACTCTGAGTGACAAGTCTTGTTCAGTTCTTTCAGAGAAGTGCCTTAGGGATGTTTTGCTCTGCCTAATCAGCCACAAATTAAGAGGAAAGGACTATAGATCACATCTGCATCCTCTCTTTCTTCTCTAGACACCCAGGTTCAGGAGAGCAGGGATGCCACCTTTCGTTCCCATTTAACACATCGCTTAGCACACAGACATAGTCAGTGCTGAAAATTATTTAAGTTAATGGAAAAAACTCAATGGCTTTCTGGTTTCACAGGCCTGTGGCTCTCCCAAGATGGATCTAAAGGTTCCAGAGAAATCACTGAGTTGCCTTAGGACCTGCTAGTTGGGGAAGGGGTGACCCTCTATACCTTCTCTTTCAAATAGAGCAAGTCCACTCTGTTCTTCACAGTTGGATTCCATTAAAAATCTCTTCTAAATAAAAAATACACATAATTATCATTATTTTTGCTCACCTTTTTATAGCTGGGGACAAATCATGCAACAAT